AAACCAGTAAGGATTGTCATCCAAAGTTTGTAAAAAAAATAATTGTACGACATTGATGATGCCAATGTGCTTTTCTGTTTTAAGAAAGGGATTTGTAACAGATGGCTGTCTTGCTCACACTGTTCCTAATACTGTACATCATCATATCCTTTCTTATTGAAATCTGAAAGCATTTCATGTGCATATTCCTGGGACTGCCGAACCTGTCACTTTGAAGCTTACTCCTTTATAGCATTAAGGAAGACATTGTTAGAGTTGAACAGCCTATTTGTGTGTTACATCTCTGGCTTCATGCAGGTGAATATGGTTTCTTCCCTAAAGCAAGGGGAAATACAATAATTTCTCTCTTTTGGGAGACTTACTGGAAAGGTCTTAATGCACCACAGGCATCTTTCAAGGAACCACTAGCAAACACAGTTTATGTTATGCCAGCAGAAGTCAGGCTGAATCTAGTCTCTAGCATGTAGCGTGTAAGGTAAGCATTTAGAAAGGAGGAAAAACCTGCTTCTTTAAGGCAAAATGCTATCTTTTAGATCTGCATTCCTGGGCTACCTGCCCTGTCTTGAATGATATCTAACTATCCAGTTCAAGCTTTAAGTTTTTAGTGGCAGGTAAAATCATGTCTGTGACATACCTTACACACAGCTTACTGTCTGTGTTTATAAAACACTGCAGGCTCTCTCTGGTCTTGAACATCTTGTTTCCTGGCCACACTTTTGATCTTGCTGCTTCCAACTGTCGTCATCATTGGCTCTGCTAGTTTTCTTTCGTATTTTTCATTGAGAATAATTATATTGGGTTGGACAAAAAGTTTGCTTCAATTGATACCGTACCTAAGTTACTAGCAAGAAGCAGGCGTATCATGATGCTTCCCTCTGGATATCCTCCCTCCTTGCAGCTGTCTGAAGCTTACAGCCTTCCCATGCTAATGTTTTTTTCTGCCTGTTTGTTTTGGCCTTTGCTTTTTCTTCAGTGAACTTGTCTATTTTTTAATCCTCTTGTGACAATGAGCTCCCTGGTCTGAGCATGTAGGGAACAACACCCTTTTATTTTCTCTAATTTAAAGGATGCATTTCTTGTGGTGTGTACAAGCCATTCCTGTCGCTTTCCAGTGTGTATTTGTTAATCTTGCTTCTAAAGTTGGGAGGAAGACCTGTTGCTTGATGCTGTTTGCTCATTTTTCCCCAGTCCTTTTAAGATTGTTTCACTCTGCTGGTCAGGTTAAAGCCCTGATTAAATATTGTATGATATGCATAATTTGTGAGATACAAGTGTCATGCTTCACGGCAAAATATCTATGCTAAACTCTGCTATAATTGTGTGTTCTTGTTGCCATATGACCTGGCAGTTTGTGTCTTTTGATAATGCACTTCCCTCTGTGTGGGAATGCTGCTGATTTCTCTGGCATTACCAGGTGAGTGGGACCTCTGAGTGTGCTAAGTATTCAGAGACATTCTTTCCTTCATGGGGTGCAGTCAGTCTTGGTGGCTCAGTGCTTGCATTCCAGAATAGTGGCATTTGGCTTTCTGTGCCAGCAGGGATGGGCTTGTGTTTTCAGCTCATTCTTAACTGGTGTTGCCATACCCCTTCCTACACTATGTCCCTTGTCGACCCTTTCCAAGGGATCCAGGAGCTGGTTACCTGCAGAGGCTCTGATTCAGGCAAGCATGTAAGCACATGCTTGAATCCCATTGATGTCAGTGAGACTTCAGCATGTTATTAAACATACGCTTAAGGGTTTTGCTGAAGTGTGTCTTAGATGCAGGTGCTGTCTGCCAGATGTGCTCTTGGAAGGCTTGGAAGCCTCCCTGGCGTTGTCACATTTACCAACTAGTATCAGCAGGCAACTTACTGGACACCTGTAATACATCCTTCTGTATTCAGGGGCAAGGCATTTCAGGGGAGAAATGGTGTGAAATAACCCAAACGCTGAGTAAATGTGGCCAGATTCTTGCTGGAAATGAGGACTTGCTTTGCTGAAAGGAGGACTTGCAGGAGCATCAATAAATTCTGCACCTTCACAGCTTTTCTTTCTGACCTTATGATGTGCAAAATATGTATGAACTTTGTTGCTGTTTGGACCCTCACTTGTTTTGTGACAAATCACAGCTGTATTCTAAGCCTTGTGCTTGGAATCTCTTAATAAGCTTTAAAAAAAAGGTTTTTGTCTCCTGCACTTGCTTCATACCTGCAAATTAACAAGTACGTTAAACTGTATACAAACAGGATGTGGAGCTGAAACCCTGATAGAAATACTCATTGACAGTTTTACCTACTTCTGTACTGTTTGGAGTTTACAGTAGTGTATTTGAGATCAGAATCTGTCTGTAGGTGCATACTAAAATATTGCTGCTTTGTTATCAAGTAGGATACCAGTAGAATTTAAAATTTAAAAAAATATAAAAAGAAAAAGTGCCAGCTTTTATTTCTGAAGGTGTCTGAAAGCATTTACTACAGTATTTGGAGTTGTTGCAAAGCAGAAATCCCCAAAGGCCTGTGTCCACATAGCTGGGGTTTTTTAGCTAGTGATTTGCTTGTGTATGTTGTTAAACTGATTACAGGATATCTGGGCTCTCTGTGAGTCCACTGCATTGTTTGTGGAAAGCTTGATGGTAGCAGTGTTTCAGCACTGGGAAAGCAGACATCAAAAGCTGCAGTGCCAAGAAGTGAATTCCTTCCAAGGAGAGACCTCCTGGGAGCTCCTGACTTCATCCACTCCAGCAGTTCAATGCCATGGTACCAAAGCATGGCATTAGGTTTCCCTTAAATACCTGGGTGTTTCCCAATGAAATCACATAGTGCTCGCTGCTAAGCTAGCTTACATGGAAAACTATTAACCTTCATGCTTCTCATGTGTGAAATTGAAGAGGAATTAGCAAAAAAAAATAGCTGGAAAAGTTGCTGGAACTGGGAAAAGAAACATTACTTTATGCTTGGTTAATTCATTCACAGAACTTTCAGGATGATTTTTTTTTAAATAGTGACCACATTGTGGATCGCCATTCTTTTTGGTGTATGTTTTAATAATATAATTAAATGCTGAGAAAGGCCTGAAGTAGATGGAACAGTTTTACAAGTTTTCATCTGTAAATAGGGCACTGATAAAGAAGCAATCATGGTCTCAAGTTTGCTTTACTTACCATCCTGCCTGTACTTTGCCTACATGCAATTTTTGTAGCATGTGAAGTACCTGAGATCTGTTGAGTTTGCTTTAGAGGATGCCAACAGCTAACTGAATCAAGTTTTATTACTTCTTGGGTGTACAAGTATCTTGTGGCAATTCCTGTTTCAGGGACATAACTGTCAGTCAGTGGAAGATGATTGGTAGTGATGTGGCTGTGATGCTAAGGCTGTAAGTGAAGCAGGCTTTATAGATGGAGATGTTCTCTTCTAGTCTGTAAGTTACTGCTACCCTAAGCATCAATTAAACATTTCTGGAAAATGTTTTTAGTCCAGGCAGGGAGACATTCTTGTCTTGGTCAAGGCTGAGATAAACTTCCAGATACTCCACAGTAGTTACTTAAAAATAATGGAAGCTTGCCTTCATTTGAGGCTTTGCTAGAGCCACATCTGTCCATGGGTTTCCTCAGTCAAATAGAAATCCCTGAGTTTGATACCATGACATGGTGTGGAAGAGGGGAGGGAGGAGAATCCAGCTGCTGTGGCTTCAGTCTAAGTGGTAGGAGACCTGTGGTTTGATTTGTTTGCTTGTTTTGCTGATTTCCTAGTGCTGGTTTCAAAGTATTGACTTCAGACAACCCCAGGTAGTTCAGCTTAGGTGAGTTAGAGAAGTGGTGCTGGCATCTGAGCTTCCTGCACAACTGGAAAAAAGGGACTGCCTTGAAAGGCTTATTAATGCTCCTGGGGCTAACAGGGAGACCCTAAGCATGAGGATTTGTGAATGCATCTTTCTTCTTAGAGTTGAGGTGTTGGATGTAATTCTTCCTGCTGAGGCAATTCTGTCCCCTCAAGATGTATGCTCCCTTAAAAATAAGCCCTGAGAAGCAAGGAGTGAGAAGAGATGAACAGAAGCGTCCTCCATCTTTTGTACTGAAACAAGAACATGGGTAGCAGAGACTGTGTGATTTGTGTCCAGGAAGAGTGCGGCCAAGGGGGAAGCTTCATTTTGTTGCCTGACAGTTAGCACAGACACTTGAAAACAGAAAGCCTGCCTTCCCATCCTGTTTTTTATCATGGGAGGAGAGACCAGGATTGGGTCTTGCCTCTTCAGCAACTGTCCTGCCCACTGTGGAAGAGTGTGAAAGTTGTGAATTTGCCTTCTCTCAGAGTGAGAATAGAATTAGATTTAGGATCTCGCTTGTTTTGCATGACTGCAATAGTGTGGGCCAGTTGCAGAAAGTGCATGCTACCATTGTTTCCACTTAACGCTTCCTGTTTTATAGTGATCCCAGTGCTGCCTTAACAGGTTAGATGTGCTGAGAGCATCGCTTCCTAGTCAGGGACAGCCTAAGGCCTTACTGTGTCTTTAGCCTGGGTTTTGATTACAGCATTTGCTTAGCTGCAAAAGGGCAGAACGCATTTGTGTAGATGTGGGTCTTCTGTTTGAACACCCAGGCACTCAGCAGGTGAGATCTGTACTAAAAGGTGCAATGGTGTTATTCATTATAACATTTAAGAGATAAACTTTGTATTGTCTGAACTGGTAGGTTTAGGTTCTTTTCACAGTGGCTGGAGAGAAGTCATCCTCTCACTTTTCCTGTGATGGGAATGCTTGTCTGTCTTGGGTGGCAGATTACTCTTTCAAACTAGCCACATCTTAGATACGGTTACATTAGGCAGGATGGACTTCCTAACACTGGCTGGAATAAAGATGTCACTGGAGGTGAAGGATGTGAGTTGTCAATCACCTCTCAATAAAGTCTCCTGTGGATATGTTAATGAGCATCCCTATGCATTTCTTGGCAGTCATTCCTAGTACATTTAATAGGTTGTGAAGTGTGACCTCATTAATGTAAGGTTTGGCTCTGCTTTCATTCTAGGTTGTCAGAGCTGCTGAAGAAGCTGCTTCCACACTGGCAAGTTCCATCCACCCTGAGCAATGCATCAAGGTGCTTTGCCCCATCATTCAGACTGCAGATTATCCAATTAATTTAGCTGCCATCAAAATGCAGACAAAAGTAATTGAAAGGATTTCAAAGGAATCGTTGCATCAGCTCCTTCCTGATATCATTCCTGGGTTATTACAGGTACGGTATCCCATGTCACTAACGCTCCTGAGCACAAACCACCACTGAGTAGTTTGTGAGGTCTGTGACCTCAGAGGGAATGGATGGACCCTTTGGGGCTAGATTTTGTTAAAGTTTTAATCCCTTTAAGTTTTTATATTTGAGTTTTTAATATTAAGAAAAAGAAGATTCAGTTTCTTCTGTTTATGCTCCACAATTAGAAGCCTTGGCCTGACTCCTAAATAAGACAGTAATAGCCACATAATAAATTTGAGTGTAGGAGTCAGCCACATCTTACGCTGTCTCAGTACATACCAAGCAATATGTCTTGTAGTCTCCTTTATTTCTGCTGAGCTGTTGTGTGTTCTGATTGTACTTTGCACTTGAATTTGAATCCCAGCAGGCAGGCTGGTCCTTTCTTCTTTCCAAAATCAGGACTGAACCACTTGCTGACTTCATTCAGCCTCTTTCATAAGCCTCTCAGGCGGGTGGGGAGCTGTGTTTTTGCCAGTGTTAAGGCTTGGTCTTACAATGCAAATTTAGCTTTCAGCATTGGCTGTAGGAATGTTGTCTTCTGTTCCCCTGCACAAGCAGCTGGCAGTGCCAGTAGCTGGGATGAAGCTGCAAGCAAGAAGGAAATAAGGGGAGGCAACAGTGAGAGAGGAATGTGTGTTTACTAGAGACAGACTGTGGCAGAACAGGTCAGTCAGTGTGAAAGGGGAGACAAGTTTGGGTGGGTAAGACTTCAGTGGAGAACTGGGGCAAAGAAGCCCTCCTCACTGTGAGCATGAAAAGTTGGAAGGACAAGAGCGAAGTCAGAAATTCCCCTTCTGCATCCTAGGGTTTGTCTCAACTTTGTGGTGTCAGCTCTTGCAATTCTTTTCTTAAATTTCAGCTTCTGGGAATCAGACAATTCTGTATTGATCTAAGCTTTTGTTGTAAAAAGATTTTAGCCGTAATTGTTGGAGACAGCAATCTGAACAGTGGAACTTCAGTGCACTAGAAAAGTTTGGAAGCAGCAAGCCTTTAGAAGTGTAGTTATATTTGTTTATTAAATTGCTTTCATGTCTTAAAATGGACATTTCAGAGCATAGATACTTCCTCACCTTGGAAACTTGTAGTGATAGAAGGGTTCTACTCCTCATATTTGGGAAGTATTTTGGGATCCTAGCTGAAGGACTGTGTGTGGAGGGAATCACCAGTGTGCTTCTTTACCATGCCAAGGCTACTGGCAGAATGGCGAAGAGGCAAGCATCAGACAGCACCAATATGAGTGCAAGCACGCAGCTCAGCATCTTGGAGTGGGATCTCCCTGACTCCAGTGAACTGATGGGGATCACCGTGCAGGAACAGGGCTTACCTGGGGGGGATCATGGTGCTTGTCCTGGTCCCAGTGCAGAGCTCTGTCTCCCTCAGAGCCCAGGGAATAGTGGTAGGCTGTGAGGCAGTCTCCCATTTGCTGCATCTCGATACCCTCAGGCTGGAGACAGCTTTGAGCCCATATAATGTCCTGAGTGAAGGCTCTAACTGTTGGGCTGTGTTACTAAATTCTGGGAAAAGAAGCACTGCTTTGCTAGCAAGTTGGCAAATGGAGAGGTGGGGTGATGGTCCCCCTGGTGCGTACAGGGAAGGCTCTGCCAACCCAGCACCAATCAGGATGTAGCCCTCAGGCCTCAGCACCGCACAAGTGTGCCTGTGCTCATGGGGAGTAATTTGGGATGGATACATAAACAAAATTCCAGGCCCACAGGGAAAAGTAAGGTCAAGCAGAGGCATCTGATGATCTCGGGAAGCCTTTGGATTGGGATCCATGAGACTGTGTCCTGCATCTCAGCTCTCCTTCCAGCAGTGGGTTGCGTCTTAGTGGGTGCTCCTCTGTTGTAAGTCTGGGCTCAGCTTTTTTTCCACCTCTGTCCTCAATGGCTTGGTGTTTCTCAGCTCATCTAGATCACATGCTTTCCTAGCTCAGAGCTCTTTGGGATTGCAGACTGTCATTTCACACTGTATTTTGGCCCTGCAGCTATAACAGCCTCAGCTGTGCTGCATTCCTCCTCCTGGCTTTCCCAGCAGAGGTCACCCTGCATCTGGAGGAGCCAGTGTCGCTTAAGCTGAAGTGATTTCTTCGTTTCTCATGGGATGGCTGCTTACTGATGAATCACTGCCTGAGTACAGGACTGATGTCACCAGCTGCTAAGTGACCTGGTGGCTAGCTTGAGTTCTGAAGTTGCCAGAGATCTGGTACACCTACAGGGGTCTCTCAACATGTTACTGTCTGGTATTAGCTGATAAGTAATCAGAAAGCTTCAGGTTACAGAGGCAGTTCAGTGTGAAGCACAGTATTTAAGGCTTTTCTGAAGGCAAGCTGGGAGCACAAGTGCTCCCCTCCAAGAAGCCCTGACCATCTAGGATAGTGTATGGTTATCTGAACTGGACACAGGAGTGTGTATATTTGATGGTGTCCTAAACGCATGTTGGGGAAACTGTTGTTGCTCAATGCTGCAACATTAATTTTAACGTGATAGTAATAATCTATACTGTCAGGAACAAATAGGATGTGACTGTATTCTCTCGCTGTTTGAGTATTCAGGTTGCAAACTGTTATGTTAAGAAGAGCTTTTTCTGTTGCTCTGTTAGGTCAGGCACATTTACAGAGTGTACATCAACTCTTTAGTATACTGCTCTGAAAGGATGTTGGTGAGTGCTGTTTGACTTCTGACCTGTTTTCCTTGTTTCGCAGGGTTATGATAATACGGAGAGCAGTGTCCGTAAAGCTAGTGTATTTTGCCTAGTGGCAATTTATTCAGTAATCGGAGAAGAACTGAAACCTCATCTCGCACAACTCACAGGAAGCAAGGTACGAGAGTAAACGCATCTCTGGGCTCTTCATTATAGCTAGCTGAATGGCTTGCACTACTAGCAGCAAGACCAGTGGCATCACAGTATTTCTGGGTCAACTTCCTTGTACTATGTTAAATCGTATCTCACCCTACTAGACACTACTAGAACAGCACAGCACTTGCTCAGCAGTGTGAGCATTTGCAATCCCACTAAAAAAATTTTGATGGGGTACAGATATGGGTTTCATGATGCATTTGATCCTGTGTAACTGTAAGCTGCCGCTGAGCAGGTCCTTCCCACTTACAGCCATGTTTTACCTTGCCCCTTCAGTGCTGCATCCGGGGTGTCTGTGCAGTGAGTTGGTTCAGCTGGCTGCTCTGGCTGAAAACCAGTTCTGCAATCCAAATTAATTAGCTTTCAGCCTGTTCTGCGGCTGCGTGGGTAACCCAGTGCAAGGAGTGGTGGGAATGCATGGCTGGGATGGGTGGGAGAGCAGGTTCTCTCAGCAGCAGGTTGTGGTTTGGCTGATAGAAATGCAGGTAACACCTCACTTTTAATAGCATGGCAGTGTCCCTTCTGGGACACCAGTAAGTTCAAATGGCCATTCAGAGGACTTTGTGCCCTAGAGTCAGGTTAACAGCAAAACTGAAGCTCTGATCTAATTCTGCAGGTGATACCAACTCCTTAGTTCAGCTCTGGCCTTCAGACAAGAGCTGGCATTTCATGTAGAAGCAGGCAGTGTCTGGTTTTCAGAGCTGTTCAGGAAGCCATCACAGGATTTCTTCTCCTGTTTGAAGTTGTCATAACCAAGATTTCCGTGCAATTTTACAAACAATTCTTCATTTTTGTTTCTGAAATAGATCTCTGCATGTGAATAGGTATGCTTAGTTTAGAGGGCTTCATTATGTTATTTTGAAACAATTTCTTTCATGGATAGTGGCACAGAAAGTGTGGCATAGGCCAAAACAACGTGAGACTGAAGACACTTGGATTTTATTTCTGAATTGAGTTGCCTTGTCCTTAAACAAATTACTTGTGCCTCCAAATTGCTCTGGAAAGAGAGAGCTATGAGTGCTGAGGTTTACCTCATTATATTTGGGCAGTCGGGAAATCCCCCTATAAAATGTTGTAGAGACTTTATTATCCCAGTATCCTAGGTGCCACAGACTTAACTCCACCACATAACTAACTATAAACATGTGAGTAATTCTTCTGGGTTTATGCAGACTGCATGTGTGTTTAAAGTTAAATGTGTGCGTGAGTCATTGCAGGATCTGGAGCTAAGGTGGTAAGGCAGAAAAAGAAAACAAGCCCATGCAGAGGAAGTGTATAGTCATAACAGCTGCAGTTTCACTAGATGTACCAAGTTAGTGAAGGTATTTAAATGTCATTGAAAATGACCATTTTATAAAGCATGGAAAGTTCAGGGTGTTTCTTAGGAGGGACCATGGCTCTTGGATTGCTGTGCCTGCAGCCCTACTGACCTCTGTGGGATTCCTGCCCACCCAGAGCAGGCTGCAGGATTGAAGTCTGTGAACTGATGGCTGCTAAAGTGTAATGCAATCGGATTTTATAAATCCCATGAAATTTCTCTAACTTCAGTGGGACTAGGCATAACCTCCTGCCTCTGTCTGTCGTGAAATACACTGAGCTTTGCTTCTGATTTTCTCCAGAGAGCCCAGCGTCAGCGCACTCAAAACTCAGTTCACCACAGAATGCGAGTTTTAGGATTTGCGGTTGACTTTTGCCCACCTGTTTTTCCTGGCATCTTCTCCTCATGTTTGTTTGTTTCTTTCAGATGAAGCTACTAAACTTGTACATAAAGAGGGCCCAGACCACCAACAGCAACAGCAGTTCCTCTTCAGATGTTTCAACGCACAGTTAATGGAGATATGTGGACATATGTGTAGATTTAGAAGCAATCAACGGTGCCTCTCAGAGACCTTTCTGCTACTCTTCACTGGCATGCTCCATCAGCTCAAGGAGGCCATGCAGATATTTATTGCAATCAGTATTTTAGTTCCTTAAAAGCTTTTATGTAGAATCTTACTGGTATTGAATGTAAAGGAAGCAAGGTCTGTGTTGCAGTCTTCATTAAAAGTGAACAACAGAAAGCCATACTTAAACATATTTCTATAGCCTGCTGAAATCTCAGAAATATGTTTAGGTTAGCATTCCAAAACTGAGTTCAGAAACCTGGATATGTGTAAAAGTCAAACAAATCTTGTTGGTTTAGTTCATACCCAGTTTTGGTTTCTGTGTGCTAGTTACCTGCTCTCTCCCATCAGCTGCCCTGGCTAGGTTCTCTTCTTACAAGTCTTGTGGTCCTGTTTTGTACTCCCTGCTGCATCTTGCCTAATGTGCAGAGCTGTTTGCAGGGAGATCTTTGCAGATGTGGTTGTGATTCCAGCCTTGGATGCTTTAATACTGGGAGATATCAAGTGAGTAATGAAAAAGTAGGTTCTTTTTAAACATCCGACATTTTGTACATAGTTCTGACTGACCTTTGATAGGTTAATTTCTCTGTAACTGCTCTCCAGCCAGCTGTGCTGTGCAGAACAGCTGGGCTCTTGCTCCTTTCATTGACTGTGTAAATATTTCTCCCCTCCTAACCCATTTGGCTCTTTCATATGCTCAAAATACTCTCCAGGTTACTTGTTACTCCACAAAGGGAACCTGAGACACAGTTCTGGGACTGATGGCCTGTGAATGGGACACGAGTTGGGTGGATGGGTGTTGGATTAGGTACTGAGTGTGCCCATGGGTGGGCAGTGGGGTTCGCGGGGCTGTATCTCAGTGCTGCCTTGTGAGGCTAGCTGCATTTTGGAAGTATATAGTGTTGGAGGGCTGATCTGCTGCTCTGACCTGGCAGTGGGTGGTGAACAGCTTTATCTCCACAACTCCTTTATGCTTTGGGCAAAATATTCACCCCAAAGGACAGAAAGGGCGTCTGAAATGGAACAAAAAGACCCCGTGGAAGCACCTGCTGAGCCAGCTGGGACAATGCTGGTTGCCTGCCACATCTCTTCTCCTGTGCCTGAAGAGCCTGCAGTGCTGTTAGCTGCCTTTAGAAACCTCCTTCTTCCTGGCCAGCACCACACACAGCCTTGCTGAGTGCTCTGCATTTTGGAGGGGTGTGGAGAGCCCTTGCTGGGCACTACTGTCAACAGGGTGCTCCGGATAAGGGTACCACAGTGCAAATCCTTTTGCAGCCTGATGACACAGACCAGGTCAGAGCCAAACCAGCAGCAGCCAAATACCCACAGCACAAGATTTCCCAAAGGGAAGATTCTCCGTTTGGAAACGGTGAACTCCCCTGCCTCTGCCTCTAACCAGGGGAAGCAGAAGGATGCTAGTGCTGTGTTTGGCCCTGAGCTGGATCCTGGCTGATGGGCATGCCCACCCCAAACATACAGTGGATTGGAACTGGCATTTTGCCCGCAGTGCTAGCATTGCAAGAGGATGGTGCTTATGGCTGCAGCTGTGCTGATGGATGTGTGCTCCCTGACTATTTTCAGTGCCTTGGTCTCTCTCCAGCCCCTCCATTTCTGCTTTGGTGAGCTGAAAGGGATGCCTTGGTAGTGTACTGAGAATGTGAAAATCTACTGCAGCAGGGGAGTGCAGTGAGGAGGGTAAAGCCACATTGTTCTCTCTTCCCATCAGTTCATCCCTGTGTGTCTAACCCCTGGCCTCAAAGAGCTGGGAGGTGATGCTTGGTGCCAGCTCCCCTCCCACTCCTCAGCTCAGGAAGGACGGGGGGCTGGTGGGAACTGTGCAAGATTGGGCTGCAAAGCTTGTTGGTCCTTTTCCCTGCTGATGTGAGAACAGAGGAGGTGACCTCCCAGGTTTGTTAGGATGTGTCCAGGCTTTTGCTGGCTGCAGGGTTAGTTCCCTCAACTTTCCCCAAGAGTAATGCCATAGCAGGAGAAAGGTGAGATCTTGGTGGGTGGGATTCCCCCAGGGTCTTTTCCACAGGGACAGAAAAGCCATCCTCACCAGAGGGAGGACTGGCAGCTCCATGGTTGGTGTCTCCCTTTCCAAGGACCATTTCTTTTCAACATCTTTCAGTATGCTTAGTAGAATATTCTTCTTTTTCTTTCTAATTTTTGAACGATTCAGATTATTTTCGTTTAACACAAATTTATTTTCCCTTTTGAGGAAATACTCAGCTGACTTGTTGGCAGCAGTTAGCTGTCTTGTGTGAATTTTTAATGGTGGGTTTGGGTTTTTTTTTTGTTGTTGTTGTTTGGCTTGGTTTTGATTTTATTATTATTCTTTTTTTAATTTGTACTTTGACTGCTTAGTATTTATGCCTCTCCTTCTTCTCATCTCAGTTCAGCATCTTCTGTCCCAGATCTGTGGTTCAGAAGGTCAGCGTAGCTGACCAGATGGAGATTAGTCCCTCCCAGCTGTAATGGAGCTTGGTCCATCACCGTTTGCTGTTTCTTTATTATTGTTTTTAATGGCACACTGTAGTAAATCTCCAGGAATTGAATTCCTTCTCAAATGTTTTTATATATTTTATCAAATCCTGTTAGTATGCACTGAGAGTGAACACACTGTATCGTCCCTGAACTGACACTGGTGCGTGTGCTGACACTGCGGTAGGAGTTAACAGCTCATCCTTGACAAGATACATGCAACTGGCTGCTGCTCCAGTGACCTGTGTTTTCCAATGCTATTGGCATACTCGGGACTGCAAATGGTAGAACCAGGCCTTACTTTCTAAATCAGATTTGGTTCTGTTTCTCAACAGATGCTCTTTAATGTGCTACTTAATTTTGTTATGTGAGTCAGTCAAGGATTGTTCATCCTTTAAGTACTCTAGAAGTATGTTATACCTGTATACAGTAGAGAGCATTCTGCTTAGGTATTTATAAATCATTGCGTATAATGTACATAGTAAGGTTGTTTAGTATGTTGAACATGACCCGATTATTTTTTTGTGTTTCCTTTGAAGTACTCAAAGGGCTAGTTCTGAATGTCACCTCTCTGATCTCCAGCGTTCTGACTTCAACAAGCTGTACAATCATTTTGTTTTCAGCAAGCATAAAGGTCTCTCTGGCTACAAATCACAGTGTCCATGCACGCTTGCAGAGAAAGATCTGCATGCTGGCAGTGCCTCACCGCACCGGTGAAGCTTGTGTTCACATTCTCCTGGCAGTAGGCACCTACTGCAGCTGACTTTTCTTTTCCTTGCTGCCCATTATGCAGGGCTTCAGTTTTTGGTATCTTAAAAAAAAAAAAAAAAAGAGAGAAAAAAAAAAAAGAAAAAAAGTAGTGAATTTTCTTTGCCCACCATGCTCTAGAAGTCTGAATGGGAGAAAACTCTCAGCAGACAGTGGCTCCTGGCTGCAAGGTTGCCGAAATCTCAGATGTGGATGTTTTTTCTGCCATTGGCTGCACCAGTGCTCCGTGGGCATGGGCAAATACCAGATCCATCCGCCCCACAGGTCTACGTACTGTAGTTCTCATGTAGTGCAGAAATATCGAGGCATGTGGCTTTCTTAAGGTACACTATGTGTGCTTGCCTGGATTACAATACAATACGAGACTGTCTTTTTTTATTGCTTATTACTAGCTTACCAATAACCTGTATAAGTAATGTAACTCGCATCTTTGTCATCAAAACCTTTTCTCCCCACCCCTTTATTTATCAAGCATAATATTACATATTAAGGGACAGAAAAAATAGACCTTTGTAGAATACAGCAGGACATTGCTAACAATGTTTTAAATGGGAAGTAAAAACCGCTCTGAAAAACGCCAGCTGTGAGAAATGACTTTGTTGGCACCGTGTTCATGCGCATGTATTTTTTTTCTATTTTTTCCGCTTTTGTCATGTTACATCCATATCTGTATTTATATCTTATTTGTTTCACTTTTGAGTGTATCATGGCAATTGTACAGATGGTTTTTGTTAACATTTACGTGATAGAATTTGCTAAGAAAAAAAAAAATAAAACCTTTTGAGTTTGCCCTAGATGGGGCTGGGTTTCTTTTGTGGGGGAGCAATTAGTAGTAAAGTAGATTCGTTATCCAACACAACTCCTTACCCCCAACAGCCTTTGCTTGTAAAGGATCTGCTTCTATTCCTGCCCTGGCAGCTGTGTTTTTCTGTCCTAGATGTGGGTTGGTAGGCTGACTGTTTCCTACACGCACCAGTCTGTGAGTGGCAGTGGAGCCAGGAGGCAGCTGATCTTTTGGGGTGCTGGTCTTTTGCTGTCAGTTTTTAAAGGCTTTTTGAAACTCAGGATTTGAGAGGATTCTTGGGAGCATTTATGACCTTTGGAAGAAGGGGCAGGCAACTCAGGAGGACTACAAAGATGCTGTAGGGAGAAAATTAGAAGGGCCAAAGCCTGACCAGAATTTTATCTGTCTACTGCTGTAAAAGGTGATTAAAAATGTTTCTATAAATACATTAGCAATAAAAGAAGGGCTAAGGAGAATCTCCTATTGGATGTGGAGGGAAACACAGTGCCAAATCATAGAAAAAGGATTAAGTACTTGATTCTTTCTTTACCTCAATCTTCCGTAGAAAGACCACTTGTGGTTAGGCTACCCAGCGTCACAAGCTGGAAGACAGGGACAGGGAGCAGAATGAAGTTCCCATAGTCCAAGGGGAAATGGACAGCAACCTGCTTACACCACTTAGACACACACAGGTCCACAGGGCTGGATGGGATTGATCCAAAGGCAGTGAGGGAGCTGGTGGAAGTGCTCACTGAGACACTTTCAATCATTTATCAGCAATTCTGGGGATTGGGAAGGTCCCAGTTGACTGGAAGTTACCGAATGTGATGCCCATCTACAAGAAGGCCTGGAAGGAGATCTGGGGAACTACAGGCCTGTCAGTCTGACCTTAGTGCAAGGAAAGGTTATGGAGCAGATCATCCTGAGTGCCAATCATACAACATGTACAGAACAACCAGGCTGTCAAGCCCAGTCAGCATTGGTTTAGGAAAAGCAGGTCCTGATTGACTGACCTGATCACCTTGTATGACAAGGTGACCTGCTTACTGGATGTGGATATTGTTTACCTTTAGACTTTAGTAAGGCCTTTGACACCATTTCCCACCACGTTCTCCTGGAGAGACTGGCTGCTTGTGGCTTAGACAGATGTTCTCTTG